CGATGAAATATGTTGAATACTTTGTTCAATTTCAATTACTCTAGAATATGTTGGAGGTAATGAATGGCGAAATATTGTTGCTGCTTGTGTAATATAGAAGAGTGCTTCAGACATTTCATCTTTTCTTTCATAAGCAAGGCTGATATTCTCAAGTGTTATTGCAATTTCAGGATGTTGAGGATGAAGAGATTTTTTTGATATTTCAAGTGATAAATTCAGATATTCTAATGCTTGATCATATTGACCAAGACATTTGTAAATGCTACCAATATTATTGTATGATGTATCCCATTGAGGATGATCGGCAGGAAGATATTTTTGACGAACAGCCAATGCCTTTTGTTAATATTCTAATGCGTCTGAGTATTTCTCCTCATCTTGATAGATAAGACCCATATTATTGAGACACATAGCCACATTTGGATGATCTTCACCATATGCTTCCGTAAAGATTTATAATGCTTTCTTGTATGATTCCAATGCATTGGTATAATCATCTTTAGCATAATAATCAGCAGCAATAGCGTTATGAATTTGAGCAATATTTGGATTATTTGAGTTTAAGATTTGCATAACGATTTCTAATGCTTTATTATACCAATTCAGACTTGATTCATAGTCTCCTTTCGAACGGGTCACTCTTCCGAGTGCAAAATAGCAAATAGAAAGATTTTGATTATAATTCGATTGTTCTTGCAAATAACGACGAAAATATTTTTCAGCATCATCTAATTTACCCATTTCGCAAAGTACACGTCCAAATGTATACAAATCTGTTTCGTCATTACCTGATTCATTCTTCATATGTTGAAAAAGTGATTGTAATTGATGATCATCATCAGAACATAACACCATTTGCAATATTTCAAATTCCATCATTATCATTACGTATACTCTGAACAAGTTGAAAAATTGATCCAATCATAAAAATAACTTCTTCTTCTGGAAAATAACTCTGTGAAGTAATATTACTAAAAGATTAAATATTAATTAATTGAGGATCAGCATCAATTTCGAAAAGAACTTGTTCAATGTCTTTATGAGAAGAATTAACAGAATGAAAAAATGTTCGAGCTTGTTATTGATTAAGACTAGTTGAAAGAAATGAATTCATTGAAACAAAATTTCCAATAGAATTTTTTAATATTTCGATTTCTTCTTTTGACATTAATTGTGCTTGATAAACATGAATAAATGATGAACATTTATTATTTTCTAATTCATTACAAAGATCACGAATGAAGAATCGAAATAACTATAATAAATCAATATTTTGTATTCGAAATGCTTTGTTTAATAATCGATAAATAAATGATTGTCTTGTATACCACCATATTGATCGATTTGATGAATAGCCATTTTCAAATTCTTTAATAATTTTAATTCAATAGGATTATTCTTATATTGTTGTTTAAATAGAGCAATAAGTTCTTGTTTTTCGTTTGATGATGATTCCATTTGAAGTATACAATCAATTAATAATTAATAATGAATAAATTCATCATTTAATTTAGTTGATGATTGTCCTTCTTCATGAGCATTTAAATTAAATATACCGATTGATAATGGTTCATCAAATTTATAATGTTGTCGTTGAATTTGATCGGATTGTATTTGATGAATTAAATTATTTAATCGATCAAATACGCCTTTGATCTAAACTAAAATAAAATAAAATAAAATCAATGAAAATTATGAGAATATATTTACTTTGGAATATTGTTGTATCCATTGTCCATGATCGTGTTTATTTGGACAGTAAATATAAATAGATATGATTTGATGAAATTGAGATATTTGAAGAAGAAATTCTCGACCTAAATTTTCATTCACGATCAAAATAATTCGTTCGTCTTTTAAAAGAGATTCAATATACTGAAGACATTGTTGTTGGTCTTGATATATTAATACATGATTCATTGTTGTTCGAAGTTGTTGTTGAGCTTGATGATTCTCTCATGAATTATTTACTGAATTATCCAACCAAATTAAAGAATTTGTTTGAAGATTTTCAACTTCTTCTTCTTCTTTTTGTGGTACATTTGTCAAAAATGCACTTATCACAACGGCTATGTACGAACTAAAAATAAAGAGAAAAGTTCGTTTTTATTTTGACTAATATATGTACTTGAAGTGTATTTTTTTCTTTTTCTTTGGCAACATCTTTCAATTTAATTGTGAAACAAAAAGAAAATAAAAGTAGGTCGCTCGTTTGTATTACCATGGCAATGAATATCATTATATGCATTGACACATTTTAACTAGAAAGAAAAAAAGAATTCCACAATGTAGCACTGGGAAAAAACAATATTCCAAAAATAATTTGAGTTTTTTTGCTTCTAATTGAAATAAATATTTCACAATAACCTTTCATCATTCTCACGGTATTAAAAAGTTTAAGATTTGCTTTTTTTTTATTACGTTATATAAAATATATTTTTAATGTTCGGTTATCTACACGATTTGAAATGAAGTAACATATAGGTAAACTATATGTCTTAGTTTATATGTAGAAATATTTATAATTAATTGTATGGCTTTTATTAGATTGTTTTCGTTTTGTTATTTATGCGTTCATGTGAGAAATAAATATAATGTTTTTATATAAAAATGATTAGTAGTATTAAAAAACAGAATGTTTAAGTATTTATATATAATAAATCTTTTAATGATCTCTAATATTATGTCTAACGTGCATTAATGTGGTTCCTAATTGATTTTTTCCAGTTCCATCTCCTCCATCTCCCCAATATGAGTCATTTTTTGTATGTTCAACTAAAGTACGATGACCAGTTGATAATAATAATTGTTTAAGTTTCCAATGTTGTGTAAATTTCGCTTTACATGCTTTATACATAACTTCATCTTTGATATCTGGCCAGTCAGATCGTACTAAAGATTTATGAGCTTGAGCATAGTCAAATATTTCTCGAGGAGTAGCTAATTTTAAGATATGTTTAAAATGTCTTTCATGAAAAATAAATTTTTGTGCTTGAAAATAATGTTCACTAGTTGGCCATATATATCCATCTAATTCGATTGGAGCAGCATAAAAGTTACTAAATTCACCATATGGTTCATCGAGATCATAAAAATAAATAGGTGCATGTGCCATTAGGTATTGTCGCAAAATCTAGAAAAAAAAACGATCTAGAAACAGAAAATTTTAGAAAAATCGATTGATTGTGAGTGAAGCAAAATCAATTCTACATTTTATGGTTCAGCCATTGCAGTGCTAACTGAATTTCATGAATTCGAAGCCCATATGAGAATTGAAGGAATTCCAATTTACAAAAAGCCAAGCTGCGAGTGGAACTGCTTTAGTAGTGTCGGATAGGGCGTGGATGATGCGACGTTTCGCACAGGATATATCATCGCATGTAGGTGCTCCGAAACCACCTATCATTTAAGATCGTATGAGTTTCAGGGAATTTCGAATTCATGGAATTCCGCCATGTCGTAGAGATTGCAGTGAACGCTTTTTTCTAGATGTTTATTTTTCTAGATTTTGCGACATATTCTACCGTTATAGAGTCGTCGATTTTACAATATATTAAATTTTCTTTCAATAATGTTTTATCAAATGTTTCTTTTTCTTTTTCGTCACGCATTAATGATGATGATAAAATAATGTTTGAATAGACACGCATCATTAACTGAAAAAGCGTAGGAAAATTGTTATTTTCATTCTCGATCGATGTTAAACTACTATGATGAATAGTTAGATGTCAAATATAATTAACCAATAGACCAAAAAGCATAGAATCGATGAATACCAATCTCAATTTACAAAATATAAAAATGTTTACATCGATGAGAAGGTTTTACAACACAACAAATGTCATGACGAAAAGAAAAATTCCATGAATCATTGTGCACAACCAGTGGCGCAACCAGAATTTATTAACCAATAGGCAAACTTCGCTTGTGTCAGAAAAAAGTGGTGGGCAAAGTGGGCAGGATTTTTATTGATAGGCTAAACAAAATACTAATAACGTAAAAAAAGCTAAAAAATTAAATAAGATCCTTCTAATCAAACATGCATAGGAGTGCCACACAGTGGGCAATTTTTCACATGCACGCGGACATTTTGTTTTAAAACACTCCAATATATTCAAAAATACTTTTCTTATAGGTTTTCGCATGTGCTCTTTTCAATAGAGTAGTTTGCAGAACTCAGAAGTACTTTTAAGTTGGTTTTCCCGAGATCCAAATGGTCTTTTATATATCTAGTTCCGATTTGTCCATCATTTCTTATAGATTTTTGAGTACGCTGATTTTGAATCTGGTAATAGAAAAGTTTTACGGAACCTTCAAGAAGATTTTCTTGAAATCTAGGTCTTTGGAAACTACTTTTAATAGAATACTTAAATTGAACCGTTTTCTATGTTTTAGCAAATCTTAACAAGAGCTCAGACTGGAAAAGCACGTTGTCGTATCGTATATGGTGCCCACCACCACCCCTTGACTCTTTTTTTATGGAACTGGTCAAGTCATTAGACTTCTTTTACAAATTGTAGACCGGTACCTCAAGATCGTTTTTCGTGGATTTGCTATATATACGAAAAAAGAATAAAAATTGATGCTAAAACTAAAATTAATGAAAAAAAACTTATAAAAAAAATTCAAAATAATTAACTATCTGCAAGCATACTATAAAAAAGGTTATCGTCTTCATTGTTACATGCCAAGACTGTTTTGTCTTTTCTTTTTCTTTTTGCCCAAGCATGTTGCGTGAGGGTGTGGGCGTAGGTGTGGGTGTGTGGGTGTGTGGGTGTGGGTGTGGGTGTGGGTGGGTGTGCGTGTGGGTGTGGGTATGGATGTGGGTTAAAAGAAAACCTACACCCATACCCATACCCACACCCACACCCACACCCACACCCACACCCACACCCACACCCCCACCCACACCCACACCCACACCCACCCACACCCACACCCACACCCACACCCACACCCCACACCCACACCCACACCCTTTGAACGCCATTCGACTGATGTCGATAAAGTCAGCACCATATTCACCATTTCTTGTCCGGATTCACTATAACACCTGAGTTGGCTCTCAATTCGGTTGAACTTGATGCAGAATTTCATGCTGAATCGAATGGTGCTATTTTCAAGGGAAATTGTCGATAAAAAAAACTTCCCTTATATCTCAAATACTGGTTTTCTCAGCTCGTGAGTGTGCATGTCATTGAGAGAGAAACTGTAACCCTGTCCTCACTCACATGTGCACCCTACAGCCCGACATTGAGTGCAACGATTACGTTGAATGGAAGAGATTTGGTGTTCTCGGAGCTAGTGACTATACTGACCAAGTGGAAATTGATGAGTTGCGAGTTTTTGATTTGAAATGATTTTATGGCACTTGAACTCATCCTAAATAACAGAAACTCAAGTTAGCTCGCTTAGGATGCATTATGCTTTTCTAAGTTTGGCTCAGCAGAGAGTTGTGATTTAGGGAGCGTTCCGTGGTGTTTTGACAAGTTTTGCATTTAACTTTGTTGACTTGCAATAACCTCGCTCTTATTTCCTTTCAAGATTACAGATATTATTTCTGATTTACTGTCCATTTAGCAGCATTTTGTTGCCAGGTTTTTTTCAAAGTCGTTGACTTTTGTATTGCCCAACCTTTGATTTTCATGAATGATCTTGATATATTGTATTTAACGTTGAGAGAGTTTAGAATAAATTGATTGTTTGGTACACACTTGGAGTTCCTTTTAAAATGAGAAGTGTAACTTAAAAAGCAAGATTTTTCCCACGCCAACACTCTTTCTCTATCATAGATATTTATTAGTTAATACTATAATAATTTTTTGAATTATAGAAATTAGTAATTGGTCCATCGAGACTTTATATTAAGTTGACCGTCATTTTATCAATCTTTGCTTTTATATCATTAGTATAAATGAGCAGTATCTAACCATTCAAGACTCTGACAAACAACAAATAACACCGCAACAGATCTACGTAACTATACATAAGAGCTTTTGAATTCATTTGTTACGAAGAAAACATTAAAGTTGATAAAGGATATGATTTTGCCTTGCTTGCAACATTTCAAAGACTTTCTCGAAATCTGAAAAACTTTGATATATATATCAGTCAACATTTTGCACAGTGCAATCAACGAGTTTTGAGATGAAATTTTAACTTATAAGTCTAATCTCAAGATATAAAAATCACGAGTGAAGAGTAGTGATCAATGGATCTTTCATATATTAGTAGTCATATGATTCAATATAAAAATTCTAACATGATCTTCACAATTTTAAAAATAGAAAATATCGTCATTTAAGAATTGATTGAGATGTATAATACTACGTGAAATGCCATGGATGAATATGTAGTTTATAAGTACAACAGTCATATTTGTAAGATCGACAGCTAGTTAGAAAAATATAAGTGTTAAATTCAATAGCAAACATAAAAAAGTTAAACATCGAGCCTGCAGAAACAATTTTTAATGAAATTACAGGAGTGCATACAAAAAAGAGAAATTTTCTGCGCTAATTTCTGAAATAAACAATATATATAGTGTAGTGATTGTCATCAATTATTTACAAAAACGATTATTCTACGAGAATATTTTTACTGTAGTCTATATTTATAATTTAAGTAAGATTTAAGAATATATGAAAGTTCTAAACTTTTACGTCAAGGAACTGTGCTAACGAGCCTTTCATGCATTTTATAGATATACACATCTCACGATTCTCTTATTTTTAATCAACAATTGCAGTCTTTCCTTCCTACAATTGAAGAACTTTGAGAACTTTCTATCCAAATTTTGAAAGAATCTGATTATAAATTCTTGTATTTATAAACATTTAATCCCATGTAGTTACTTTCTTAATCACAAAACAATAGAAATTATCGAAAGTTGATGTCATTTTGGATAAAGTGATAGTTTC